TGTGTGTGTGTGTGTGTGTGTGTGTGTGTGTGTGTGTGTGTGTGTGTGTGTGTGTGTGTGTGTGTGTGTGTGTGTGTGTGTGTGTGTGTGTGTGGCTGGTGTGTGTGTGTGTGTGTGCGTGCCTGTGTGTGCTGATTCTTGGCCCTTGCTTTCACTTGTGTCGGTGTTCCATTGGCTGTCTCAGCAGCCGTTCCCGCAGCACTACACTACACCACCCAGAACAGCTTGTGCTCGGGATGGGGCGGGCCTTCCTGCAGCTGCACGAAGAGACAACGGGGCGAGAGCGCGCGCAGATTCGAAACGCGAGAGAAAGGGAGCTGTGTACAACCCACGCGCACACACACACACACATGCAATCGCAGCGCACGTGAGGAATGGCGCAGATGAAACCAGACACAGGAGCGGTCACGCAAGAGAGACAGGCAAGAGAGACAGGCAGGCAGACAAGACAGATAGACAGACAGACAGATAGACAGACAGGTAGACAGATGGATAGAGAGACAAACATGCCCACCCACCCACACATACATTTACACACAACACTGACACCTACCCACCCCCACACCCCCACAACTCCACCCCCGCCCACACCCACCTGTGGGTGCTGGAGGGGCTTGCCCGTGCGACGGTCGATGTGGACGATGCGATCGTGGTATCCTAGAACGAGACCCGTGCACAGCGCCGCCGCATACAGTGGGTACGGCTGCCCGTGGGGGAACAAGCACACACAGCAGACCAGCGGGGTCGTAGTGTTTGGTGGCGAACATGAGGTGGAGTGAGGTGAATCCGTCGCTTGGACGCATGAGAACAAACAACAGTCACATCACTGTGAATGCAAACGAGCGAAGACAACAACCAGCATGGGTGCAGTGGCAAAGCGAGGCGCACGCCACACACCACACACACACACACACACACACAGACACGAGCGCGCACAAACACAAACACACACACATTCATATAATGCCTGCGCATAAAGCAAGAAAGGGCTTTCACGCACGTTCCAGCGATAAGGGAGGGTGAATATTGGCGTGTGGTCGCGAAGGCGGTGCCAAATAATGGCATTGGCCACAGCATCAAGCACAACAAAGCATTTCGTCTGAAAAATACAAGCAGTGTCATTGCATGCATACAAGCACGGAAGCGAGAAGTTAACCACGCGCAGCGTGCAATCGTGCGCGATGGGAGACAGGAAGGACAACAACACGATCCTCCGCAAGTCGTGTCGACGAGTACGACACGCACACGCACACCCACACACGTGTCGATAAACGCACGTGGTGGTCACAGAAGAGTTCATCAAAGCGGAGGTCGGTATCGTTGACACGAAAACGCAGCGGTGCAGCCAACGGCCTTTGTTGTTGTTGTTGTTGTTGTTGTTGTTGTTGTTGTTGTTGTTGTTGTTGTTGTTGTTGCTGTGGTGGTGGTAGTGGCTGGTGAAGGTGCTGTAGGCTGGCCCACGCCTCATGCGCGTGTGCTCGCGGGAACAGCGGCGCCGTCACGGCCACCGTCGCCGACATCACAAACAGCGCCTCCACTGCCAGCCCAACACCACTTCGATCACAACTAGCACGACGACGACCACCGCCACATCTGAGCACAGCGGCATCATTGACAGATTCAAACGCGCCCGTATCTGCGTCGCCAATCACTTCCACAGCGACGGACAAGCCACCATTCCCACTGCCTTCACCCGCTGCCACAACTCGGTCAGCGTCGTCATCATGATGGTCACCGGCCCCACGTTTGTGTCCATCATCTCTGAAGGTCAGACGAATCACGATGGTGGACGGCGGTGTCACTGCGGCAACAGCAACATACAGCAACCCTTTGTGTGTGCGTGTGTGTATGTGTATGTGTGTGTTTGAGTCAGTGAGTCAGTGAGTCAGTGAATCAGTGAGTGATGCCGGGGGTAAGGGAGGGCGTGCACGTTTGGGTGTAAGCACACATGCCTCTGAGTGTGCGCGGTCCCGCGGTGCAAACATCAACTTCACCTTCTGGCGTGCGTGTGTTCGTCAGCTCAACCAATCGAAGCAGACGAGAGTGGCACACCTGCACACGCACACACACACACAATCAAAAAACGCAAGTTGCACAAACACACAGAGGGAATCAAATACACGTACATCTGCGAAATCACACGTGTTGTATCGGTGCGTGGGCACGATGGTGGTGTCTGGGTACATGGATTGCACAACACACGCACACACACACACATCACGCAACACACACACACACACATACCTGGTGCTCGGATATGAAGTGGAGATCAGAGTCAAGCACCAACAATCGTCCATCATATCCGCCTGATACGCGGGCACGTGCAGCATGAGCAACAAAACGTTAAGAGGTGGTCGCACAGAAAAAGACCAGACAGACAGACACAGACACAGACACAGACAGGCAGACACAGACAGGCAGACAGACAGACAGGCAGACAGACACAGACACAGACACACATACACGCATGCAAGAAAGCCAACATCATCACCAACACCTGTGAGGACAAAGCCGGCGGTGAGTGCGGATATGGAGGCGGCGCGCCGAGGAAGAACGCAGCGGGCAGGGATGCTGCTCATCAGCGAACGCAGACCCGTCGACGCTGCACACGCGTAAACACATGTATGTTGGGACGGGGTGAGAGGGGAAGGTGTGCTTTGAGCGGAGGAGAAGAGCAGTGAGGGTGAGTCCTGGTGCTTGTACTTACAGATGCACACAGACAGACAGACAGACAGACAGACAGACAGACAGACAAACAGATGGACGGACACATGCATACACATATACACACACGCACACACAATATACACATACGCACACACAATCTACACACACGCACACACAATATACACACACGCGCACACAATCTACACACACGCACAAACACACAAACACACAAACAATCACAAACACAGACGCCTCACGTGCTGGTTGCGGGTGTGCTGGTGGAAGGAAGTCCTTTGCCAGCTCGCTGTGGCGTCGCGAGTCTTCAACGGAGACGACAGCCGTCGTGTCGTCATCGGCCCTGGTGGCTGCAATGTCAACGTGCTTGACGCGGCACGTCTGCCGTAATTGGACGGTGACGGCGGGCTGTGCGTGGTGGTGGGCGGTGGCAGTGATATGACACGCTTCTCTCCATGATGCAAAGTGTCGCCTGTCCAGCCCAATACCGCGCTGGCCCAGCAGCACATCGTTGATGTAAACGCTCCGCCACAGCGATTCTGTCGCAGGGCGTGGTTGAGTGGTGTGTTGTGGTGTGTTGAATGTTGTGTGTTGTGAGCTGGGTGAGAATGGGCAGGTAGCACATATATGACAGCACGTGCGCCCTTGAAGGTGTGGCCATCGGGACACAATTAGAACGTTGCGGTCTTCAGGTGCCCCTGCTCGCACATCAGCGCTGCCGTACAGGTGTGAAAACACACACACACACACACTTACACGCACACACACACATACGCACACACACACACATGCACGCACGCACGCACACACGCACACATACCGTGGAATGTTTGTCGCCAGTGCCGGCACACTAAAGAGGCAGACACGGCACTGACCACGTCGAGATGCTCGAATATCTGTTGACGCCAATACAAACACAAAACAAACACACGCACGCACACCATCAGCGACCTTGCAAGAAGACAGCCCAAGGGTACATTCCCACAACAAATCCGTGCACACCACCACATCGCTTCTCCTCAGAAGCCTGCTTCGAATACTTGCCCAATGAGCTACGCACTCACTTGGAAGAGGAGCTCCTCGGGCATCGCCATCCATGTTTCTGCGCTCGTCTTGCACGCGTCAAGCGCTTCCTCAAGCGCGGCCCTCTCAACTGCGAGAATCGTGTAGATTGGCAAGGGGCCAGAGCAGCAGTTTGATAAGCAGGTAGGTTGCCGCACAACAACACCACTTGCATCCGTGTGCGCAGACACACATGCACACAGACAGACAGACAGACAGACAGACAGACACAGACAGACAGACACAGACAGACAGACACAGACAGACAGACACAGACAGACACAGACAGACACAGACAGACACAGACAGACACAGACAGACACAGACAGACACACACACACACACGACACACGACACACACACA